ATAAGCTTTTAAAAAGTTTTTATCTCATTACTCATTTTTTAAATGCATTTTAAAAAAGATAATAAAAATAATATTTTTAGACAAAAAACGTCTATATTTAACAATAATTATAAATATCATGAATTTCTATAAAACATACTGTAAATCTTATTTATTATATACCAAGATGATGTTGTTTCGTATTCGTTTTTATCCTTCACTATATTTATATTATTCTTTCTTACAACCATAATGTTTTTAGTGGTTAAGATATTATTTAAAACTTAAAAAACTTTTATAAAGTTTTTAGGTTTTATTATTTCAATGAATAACACACATCATCAACGTCTAAAAAGTTACGGGAAATAAATGTTTTTATAATTAAAATGTTTATAAAATAATAATCTTCTAAGTTATAAATTAATTAGATGATACATGTTTCTAGTTAATTTCTATCTTCCTTTTTAGTTTTTTTATCTCCTAATGAACCATCTCTTAATTAATACAATGAAGCTTTTGATTTAAATAATTTAACAATAAATTATCATTAAACATCAAATAACAAAACTATTAAATAGATTATTAAATCTATTTTATAAAATTAATTGAAAATCACCTTTGTTTTTAACAATAAAAACAATGAGATTATTTTACACTCTAACAAACAAAACATAACATGATTGTTGTATCCTCAAAATGTGTTAAGCTTAATTTATATAAAAAAGTGTATTTTAAGAAATTCTATTTGATAGATTTTGTTGGTTAAATTTTTTATGAAGAAATTTTATTTAATAAGAGAAATAAAGTATAAGATGAGTGAAGTGTATTTTAATAAGAGAGATGATATTAAAGACGAATAGATATAGAGAGTTATAATTATATAACCAGTAAAGATGATACTTATGGATCAATGGAAAGACTTAATAAACTTTTTTCTAATTATTATTATTGTTTCAGCGATTACAAATAAATATTAAAATTAATTAGAAGATATTTTATAAAAATAAACTTAAAATTTTTTAAGTTACAAATAAACAAAATTAATTTTTATATAAAAAAATATTTAAATTGATATTTTTGATAACCCCAATATGAGAAGTATACTAATAAGTATTTTAAACAGTGTGGTGTTTCTATTAAGTAGTAATACAATTGTGGTTGATAGAGTAAGATGTGAAGATACTTTAATTAGTGAAGAGATAACTACTTTTATAGAAGAACTTAACTCTCTATTTAGAAACATTCAAGTCAGTTTTTTAAAAGAAGTTCTTAACAACTTAAAAGAAAACGATAAAACAATTTTTAATAAGAAAAAAGCTTTAAAAGAATGTCATGATAAGTTAAATGAAATTAAGTTGAATGATAAAAATTATAAAGAAAAAATTAAAGATGTTTTAAACGAATTAGTTATAACATAATTTAAAAATAAGTTTGATCTTAGTGACTTACCTAAAAAAGACCATATTGAATTTTTAAAAACTGTTGATTTGTACTCTTTTTATTTAGCTATAAAAATGTTTATGATTTATAAATATGATAATTTTCAAACTTTAGAGGATAATGAGAAAAGAGAAATTAAAAGATTAAGCAATAAAGTTTATTATTTGTATGTAACAGTAGCTAAACGATTAGATTTCATAGAGTTTGGAAATAAGAGTGAAAAATTAGACAAAATTAAAGAATTGATAAAAAAATTTTCAAAGAGCAGTTCTAAGACAAACTATAAACATAATAGTTAATGTTTGAACGAAAATGTAAAATCATTTGAAAGTGACGAATTCAATCTTAAGAATTTACAAGATATGATTAATTTTTATGATGAAAAAGTAAATCAAATTGATATAATTAATGCCAAAATAAATAAAAAAGAACTATCTAGTTATGACAAAGATTTCGATACAATATCAAGCAATTTTAATATTGATTTAAAGAAGTTTATGAAACATGGAGAAGAATTACAAATTTTACTTAATGAAATTGTTGATCTTTTAGAATTATTTAAGACATGCTTTTTTATTTTTAATAAGAAAGATTGTAAATTAAAAAATACTAAAGATTTTACTAAATATTTAATTTATAAGATTGAAAACAAAATAACGTTTTATAAACTTTATGATTTTTATGAAAGTGATAAAATTTTAAAAATGCTTTACGATGTTAAAGAAAAATTAGTGAGAATTTTCAATAATCTTGTGTCTAATGACTTTATGAATAATTAATTGATTAATAATAAACTATTTTAAAAATTGTTTTTTAATTTTAATATCTTGTATATTAGCTAGACCTTGTTAAAAATAACACTTAATTTTATCTTTATTTAAATATCTTTTGTGAACCATGACTATTTATTTAATTTCTTTTTAACAGTTTTAAAAATTGTTTTATGAATAATATTATTAAAAATTACTATCATAAAAGCTTTTATTAATAAAATAATACTAATTAAATTTTTATCTGTTTCTCTAATAATTAATGGTTAAAAATAGCAACAAAAATTTTTATAAATTAAACTTTAAATCAAAATATTTTATATAAGATTTATACTATACTAATTTAATTAAAATTAAATAATACAACATTTATATAGTTTTAAATCACGTGATAATTAATTTAAATATTATAATAATAAAAGAATTTCGTTTCATACACACACTGTATCATTAATAACAGAACTTCTCTGTAGAAATACAAGATTAAAACCAAATATGTTGAAATTTTTAACATTAACATTAGAATTATTTTGTTTGATAATCAAATCTTAGATTTCTTCAACACCTTCAAGTAAATTCTAAACATTTTTCTTTAATAAATTATTAAATCAATTAATAATATTTTTAATAGAAATTATTTTAAACAATGTAACAATAATTCCAAATAATTTAATAAAAATTGTTTTAGCTAACATTACACATTATTAATTTTATACCTTTTATTAATAAATTAATTTTTTTTAAATCTTAAACGATAATTTTAATAAGTTTGAAAAATTGAGAAGATTATTTCTTAAAAATTTTTATTAATAAAAAACTTTAATCATTCCTTAATCATTTTACAATTCTTTTATAATTTTACTTTGATATAAAGCCACAATTATCTTACATTGCATTTCTTAATTTTCAATTAAAATCCAATAATTAATTAAAACCTTAAAACCATATACGCTGGTATCAAAGGTTTTTTGATTAATATAATAATATTTACACTTAATTAAACATTGCAATCAATTACATAAACGTTGAAATCAATTATATAATCAAATCTTGTATTGGATTTACAATTAATAAAACAAATAAAAAAAAATTAAATTTAAATCTTGTTAAGAATAATTTTTCTTGTAGTAGACTTTATTAAATAAACTAAAATTTTTCTAAAAAATAATCAAAATGGCTAGGAAAGATTTTATAAAAGACTTTCAATCAAACTTTTAAATTGAGTTTCGTTCATAGCCTCATTACAGATAACTAAAATTTTCTAACAGA